AAAAGTACCCTTTATTAAATACGAATCTAAATCTAAACAAGAACTGAACTAGAACTGACTAGAACTGAACTAGAACTGAACTAGAACTGAAACTATGAACTGAACTAGAACTGAAACTAACTAGAACTGAACTAGAACTGAACTAGAACTGAACTAGAACTGACACTAGAACTGAACTAGAACTGAACTAGAACTGAACTAGAACTGACTAGAACTGAACTAGAACTGAACTAGAACTGAACTAGAACGGAACTAGAACTGACTAGAACTGAACTAGAACTGAACTAGAACTGAACTAGAACTGAACTAGAACTGAACTAGAACTGAACTAGAATGAACTAGAACTGAACTAGAACTGAACTAGAACTGAACTAGAACGACTAGAACGAACTAGAACTGAACTAGAACTGACTAGAACTGAACTAGAACTGAACTAGAACTGAACTAGAACTGAACTAGAACTGAACTAGAACTGAACTAGAACTGAACTAGAACTGAACTAGAACTGAACTTAAACTGAACAGAACTGAACTAGAACTGAACTAGAACTGAACTAGAACTGAACTAGAACTGAACTAGAATACTAGACTGAACTAGAACTGAACTAGACTGAACTAGAACTGAACTAGACTGAACTAGAACTGAACTAGAACTGAACTAGAACTGAACTAGAACTGAACTAGAACTGAACTAGAACTGAACTAGAACTGAACTAGGAACTGAACTAGAACTGAACTAGAACTGAACTCTAGAACTGAACTAGAACTGAACTAGAACTGAACTAGAACTGAACTAGAACTGAACTAGAACTGAACTAGAACTGAACTAGAACTGAACTAGAACTGACTAGAACTGAACTAGAACTGAACTAGAACTGAACTAGAACTGAACTAAACTGAACTAGAACTGAACTAGAACTGAACTAGAACTGAACTAGAACTGAACTAGAACTGAACTAGAACTGAACTATGAACTGAACTAGAACTGAACTAGAACTGAACTAGAACTGAACTAGAACTGAACTAGAACTGAACTAGAACTGAACTAGAACTGAACTAGAACTGGACTAGAACTGAACTAGAACTGAACTAGAACTGAACTAGAACTGAACTAGAACTGACTAGAACTGAACTAGAACTGAACTGACTGAACTAGAACTGAACTAGAACTGAACTAGAACTGAACTAGAACTGAACTAGAACTGAACTAGAACTGAACTAGAACTGGACTGGAACTGAACTAGAACTGAACTAGAACTGAACTAGAACTGAACTAGAACTGAACTAGAACTGAACTAGAACTGAACTAGAACTAGAACTGAACTAGAACTGAACTAGAACTGAACTAGAACTGGACTGGAACTGAACTAGAACTGAACTAGAACTGAACTAGAACTGAACTAGAACTGAACTAGAACTGAACTAGAACTGAACTAAAACTGAACTAGAACTGAACTAGAACTGAACTAGAACTGAACTAGAACTGAACTAGAACTGAACTAGAACTGAACTAGAACTGAACTAGAACTGGAACTGGAACTGAACTAGAACTGAACTAGAACTGAACTAGAACTGAACTAGAACTGAACTAGAACTGAACTAGAACTGAACTAGAACTGAACTAGAACTGAACTAGAACTGAACTAGAACTGAACTAGAACTGAACTAGAACTGAACGAACTGAACTAGAACTGAACTATACTGAACTAGAACGGTAACCCTGAACTAGAACTGAACTAGAACTGAACTAGAACTGAACTAGAACTGAACTAGAAACTGAACTAGAACTGAACTAGAACTGAACTAGAACCTGAACTAGAACTGAACTAGAACTGAACTAGAACTGAACTAGAACTGAACTAGAACTGAACTAGAACTGAACTAGAACTGAACTAGAACTGAACTAGAACTGACTAGAACTGAACTAGAACTGAACTAGAAACTGAATATTGCTACAAAAATACTTATTTTAAGAGATAACAAAAAATAGTTTTTTAACTTTCTTGTTCCTAATTATATCTTGATTTGTAACAAATCAATCGAAAAACCCAATACACCACCACACCTCCCCTCTCCAAATCAATGATATAATATTTAAAAAGTAGAAAATGTTCGGTTATAATAATAAAAAAGCAACAATTATTATTTTTAAGTCAAGGTTAATTCTAAATAGATTTTTAAGCTTTTTTCAGCAAATAATTAACAATAATTAAAACTGTTTAGATATGTTTTGTACACTGTTTAAATGGGCAAGAAAAAATAACAAATATTAACAAATAAACGGAAGCCAAAATAAAACAATAAAAATGAAAAAACGTAAATTCTTTAAAATTACAATTAGTTAATGCAAAAAGTCTTAGTTAAAGTAAAAAGAGACTTACAGATTGAAACACATGTAAGACTCTAAACAATATTTAACTAATATTTTTATGTTTCAAATAAAATTAACAATCTGTTATTTACACGTTTATAACTGGGGTTGTTAATTAAACATAAACAAGTATATTTAATAAAAAAATCAAAAACTAAGTAACAATTAAAACATTATTCGAGTGAGTACAAACAAACACAAATCTGGATATCTACAAGGTTTAACAAGTTTAATGAACTTTTTGGCTAATAAACCGGAAATGTTGATTAAAATGCATAGAAATCTAAAAATACATCTCGTGTTTTAAATTGAAATTGAAACTATAGAAATCTGTAACAATGATCAAAGTATGTATTGTTATTAATTTCATAACAATCATTCCAAAAACATTTTATTTAAATAATAAAAAACCTTATGTTTGTTAAAAAAAAAATATAATTGTCTTTAACATTGGCTTTGACAATAATTTTGTATTTTTTTTTTTTTTTATTTTCAACACCTTTAATTTTCAAAGTCTTTGATTTTCATGGAAAAATATTTATGACCAATTACGTCGTTTTATTTTTAAATGGTCTTTATATTTTTTAGCCAAAACCAACCTGTCTTACGTTTAGTCAATTTTATTGGCTGCACTTTAATGGTCTTCTGATTATTATTATTTTTTTGTTTAACACTCTTATAAATAAATCATTTTTGGCACGCTCAGTTTTTTGAAAAGTCAGTTTGTTTTTCAAGAACATTTTGAAGAATTTTCAAAATAAATTTTTATTGTTTATGGTTTAATTGTCATTGGTATGCTTTGGAATGGTTAACAATTTTGGTCATGATCTTCATTCACAAGTGACTGAACAAAAAATTAAAAATCAACTTAAATTGATTTGTAGACTTGAAAATGTATAATTGAAAATTAATTATTGTAATTTGGCGGCAAGGTCAATTTTGGATTGAACATGTTTCATATTAGTCATTGTTTTCAAATTATTGCAATAATTTTAATTTCTGAAATTTTTTTAGTTTGAATTTTTTATTATATAAAAAGTATGAAACCTTTTGCCTCATTAAAGGACTTTTCCCATACAAAGGTTTTACTATAAAATTTTTAAAGGTATTCTTCAAGTTAAGTTCTAGTTTAGATCTAGTTCAGTTCTAGTTCAGTTCTAGTTCTAGTTCAGTTCTAGTTCTAGTTCAGTTCTAGTTCAGTTCTAGTTCAGTTCTAGTTCAGTTCTAGTTCAGTTCTAGTTCAGTTCTAGTTCAGTTCTAGTTCAGTTCTAGTTCAGTTCTAGTTCAGTTCTAGTTCAGTTCTAGTTTAGTTCTAGTTCAGTTCTAGTTCAGTTCTAGTTCAGTCTCTTCAGTTCTAGTCTCGTTCAGTCTAGTTCAGTTCTAGTTCAGTTCTAGTTCAGTTCTAGTTCAGTCTAGTTCAGTTCTAGTTCAGTTCTAGTTCAGTTCTAGTTCAGTTCTAGTTCAGTTCTAGTTCAGTTCTAGTTCAGTTCTAGTTCAGTTCTAGTTCAGTTCTAGTTCAGTTCTAGTTCAGTTCTAGTTCAGTTCTAGTTCAGTTCTAGTTCAGTTCTAGTTCAGTTCTAGTTCAGTTCTAGTTCAGTTCTAGTTCAGTTCTAGTTCAGTTCTAGTTCAGTTCTAGTTCAGTTCTAGTTCAGTTCTAGTTCAGTTCTAGTTCAGTTCTAGTTCAGTTCTAGTTCAGTTCTAGTTCAGTTCTAGTTCAGTTCTAGTTCAGTTCTAGTTCAGTTCTAGTTCAGTTCTAGTTCAGTTCTAGTTCAGTTCTAGTTCAGTTCTAGTTCAGTTCTAGTTCAGTTCTAGTTCAGTTCTAGTTCAGTTCTAGTTCAGTTCTAGTTCAGTTTTAGTTCAGTTCTAGTTCAGTTCTAGTTCAGTTTCCTAGTTCAGTTCTAGTTCAGTTCTAGTTCAGTTCTAGTTCAGTTCTAGTTCAGTTCTAGTTCAGTTCTAGTTCAGTTCTAGTTCAGTTCTAGTTCAGTTCTAGTTCAGTTTTAGTTCAGTTCTAGTTCAGTTCTAGTTCAGATCCAGTTTAGTTCTAGTGCAGTTCTAGACCAGTTCTAGTCAGTTTTTGTTCAGTTCTAGTTCAGTTCCAATTTAAAACTTTTATTCATTTTGTGGTAAAAACATATAAAACAAATATGATTATTAGTTTTTGTAGTTGCGAACATTTTCTAGCACATTTATTAGCGATTTCTTTTTTTACATTTAATAAATAATTTTTATATAAGAATAATTTTAATTCAACAAAATTTTTTTTCTATATAATATACAAATCTTTAAGATACATATTAATGATTTAAAAATCAATTGGTCCATATATTAATATATAATACAACTATTCATAACAGCTAAAAATCTAATTAAGTGTTGATCGGTTATAGTATATTCGTTTTAAATTTAAACTTACGATTAGCATTAATTTACTTCATAAATTAAAATACTTTTCCAAATAGAATGTTTCTATAGATGATGATTAAGCTTTTAAGCTTGCTTAAAACTTGGTTAAGCAATGGAAAGCATACTCTTGTTATAATTTAAAAGTTATATTTATTCAAGCTCTTAAACATTTATAGGCAAATACTTTTAGTAATTTTTTTTAATTTAATGTTTTTTTTATTTTAACAATAATTTCGCATAAAAACACATTTTTATTTTTTTTTTTATTTTCTTTATTTTTGCAATTCAATATATATTTTTTAATTATTATTGAAAAAAAATCTTAAATAATACTAGAGACATAAAACTACATACCTATTTAATACAAAATAATAGTTACATTTTATATAAAATTAATTAATAAAAATAATAAAATATTGTGTGTATAAAAAAATCATTTTTAAAATTCTTGTTCTTTTCAAATATTTCTTTGAAGTAAGAAAAATACAAAGACAAAAAAAGTTAAAGGAAAAAATTACCAAAATAAAATGTGTATAAAACTAAAACATTAAAACAATATTTAACAAAAATTTTGCAAAAAGTAGACAAAAAGAAAGAGTTAAAAGAACAGAACTTAAAAACTAAGGATTTTTTTGGTCCAATAATAGTTATTAATTAATTATAAACAATAAAACATAAAAAATAAATAAAATTAAATGACAAATAAAAAAATATGCTACAAACAAATTTTGGAGAGTTAAATTAAAATAATAATAATAATTAATAAGTTTAGGAAAAGAAACAGAAATGATTGATTGGCTATGAGTAAAAAATAAAATAATAATAATAATAAAATATTGTACATTTAAAAGAATACTTTCAAGGGGTCTTTAAGAGTTTTGCAATTAATTAAATATTATTAAAAAAAATTATTATTATAATAAACGTAACTGTTTTGGATTAAATTTGCTAAACTTTAAAAAGTTTAAAGAATGTTAATTTTTAATACTTTGAGGGTTAAATGAAACACATTTTAAGGCAAAAAATTAACAAAACATTTAAACTAATTTAAAAAAAAAGGATCACAAAATATTTTAAACAATTATAACAAAAGAGCTTTTAAAAAAAACTGAAGCTACGTTTTAAGGTTAAACTCTCATACTCTCACTTCTCTCTCGCTTAAACAAACTTAAACACTTTGTTTGTGTGTGTGTAAGAAAGAGAGCTTAAAAGGGACGACGCATCTTGTTGATGGCATTGGTCAAATGTAAGATTTCAGTGTTCATTTGTTGCAATAAAGTTTCCAATTTATCAACCGAATCTAAGATTTCTACACGTTCGGTATGGGGATTGAAACGCACTTCGAAGGGTCTAGACATGGTGGATACCCAACGACGGAACTTGTCTTTGGCATCTTCGAAACTTTCGGCTACATAGTAGATGGGTTGGTATTCTTGATCCTGATAGGGTTGTACAGCGGTGGAAGCGGGTTCAAAAGCACGATGTTCACATTTATCGGAAATGGCATGCAACAATTCACCGTAGGAGGACAAGAGACCAGCACCATAAGCTTTGATTTGTCCATGTTCTTTGCAGAGACCGAATTCAACAGTAAACCAGTAGACCTTTAAATGTATAAGAAATAATTTTTTTTTATTAATAACAACATTTAGATTTTTCTTAGTTTTTCTTTAAACAAACAAAAAACAAATTGCTAACACACTTAAATTAAACTAAACTAGATTCTAGTTTTGTAATGCATAAAACCTTGATTTCAAAAATTGTTTGTTTTTGTTTTTTCGTTTAGCTTTTGAAATGCACATTTAAGTCAAGATTACAAGTGCAGTGTTAAGCGTTTCTAAATTTTAAACGTTTCGGTTTTTTCTTGGCTTTAACCAGTTGTTGTCCATTGGTTTAAATATTCGTTTTTTTTTTTTGGCTTTTAAATGCGAACTTGACTTTTAAGCCATTGAGCAGGGTATAGCCATGCCATACCGTATTTAATACTAAAACTTTAAACTTGGCTTAGAACCTTAAAAACACACCCAAAATAATTGCAGTAGCTAAAACAAATAATACATGAAAAAGCCAAAAAAAAAAACTGAAATAATTTTGGAAGGTCATTTGTTAGAATGGAAGAAAAAAAACTTAAAAATATTCACAAATAATTGTATAATTATTATAAACTAAAGAAAAGTGAAGGGATTTTGCATTTTTCCTGTTTGATAGATAATTTCAAATTGAAAGGATTTTATTAATATATTTTGAGGTTAAGAAGAAGTCGAAGAGAAAATTTTTCATGGAAAATTAAGTGTAAGTTATTTAAGCTTTAAAAGCTTGAAATTTAGAAGATTTAAACTTTTTACCATTTAGAGGTTTGTGAACATTTAGAAGACGAATTTGTTTAATATTTTAATTCTAAATAAAAATATTTACGATTTTTCAAGGTAAAATTTAAGAAAATTTAATTTTTTAAAATTTTTCATTTTGAGGTTAGAATGAATTTTTTCCAATATTTTGGGTTTTAAAAGATTTAGAAGCCGAATTTGTTTAATATTTTAATTATAAATTAAAATATTTATGATTTTTCATCATAAAATGCAAGAAAATTTAAGTTTTTAAAATTTTTAATTTTGAGTTTAGAATGAATTTTTTTTTCCAATATATTGATTTTTAAAAGATTTAAGAAAGAATTTCTTTCAAAATTTTATTTATATATAGAAATATTTAAGAAATTTCTTCGAAAAATGCAGAAAATTTAAGTTTTTTAAATTTTTTATTTTGAGGTTAAGTTGAACTTTTTCAAATATCTTGGGTTTTAAAAGATTTAGAAACCAAATTTTTTCAAAATTGTAATTTCATATAAAAATATTTAAGCAATTTCTTCAAAAAAATGCAGAAATTTTAAGTTTTTAAAATTTTTCATTTTGAGGTTAAGTTGAATTTTTTCAAATATCTTGGTTTTTTGAAGATTTAGAAGACGAATTTGTTAAACATTTTAATTTTAAATTAAAATATTTATGATTTTTCATGGTAAAATACAAGAAAATTTAAAATTTCACATTTTGAGGTTAGAATGAATTTTTTCCAATATCTTGGGTTTTAAAAAATTTAGAAACCAAATTTTTTCAAAATTTTACTTATAATAGAAATATTTAAGAAATTTCATCGAAAAATGCAGAAATTTTAAGTTTTTAAAATTTTTTCATTTTGAGGTTAGAATGAACTTTTTGAAATTATACGAAAAGTAATGATTTTAGTAAGAAAATGTTTGTAAAATCTTGTTTCTACTAATAAAATCTTGCTAAATAAAGTATTTAAAAGCTTTAAAACAGCTTCATATCAAATTTTAAATTTTGAGGTTAGGTTGAATATATTCGTTCTTTCCATAGAAATCAGGGTTTTAATAAAGGAATTTGTAATTAAAAATAAAAATTTAAGTTATAAGTTTTCAATTTACTAAATAAATTCGAAATAAACTTAAATTTTTTTCAATATTTTTAACTAATACTAAAAAAATAATCATCATCCTTCTATTAATTTTCAATTTAAACTATATTTTATGCTTTTCAATCGCTTTCCTAGTTAATTAACTAAAATTATATAAAACATATACTTACAGTGGACAATTTTTCAATTTCTTCATCCGAAGCACCCAATGAAGCTAAACCAATTTCCTGTGAGAATTGAGCAAAACTGGGATCAGCCAACAAGGGCATATGACCCAACAATTCATGAATGCAATCGCTGTAAATTGGAAAAAAACAAGAAAAATGTGTTCAATATTAAATAACCATTTCATCATCATCATTGTAAGAAAAAATATTAATAATAAAATTATATACTCAAAGTGTTAAAGCTTTTACTCTTTAGTTTAATAGACTTCCTAGCCTTGTCAAATAGTAGTAAGTAGTAATGGTAAATAGCAACAATAGCATTAAATAACTCAATTATTTGTTAATGGAGTTATCAAGTGCCTTTAACATGGTAAAATGGTACTTGTTGCAGCCAACCAACAACACCCGTTTCCTTCTAGTTTTAAGTTCTTCATCACTTTCTCTTAAAGGCCAATTATGAGGTTTCCCTTTGTTCTTTTTGGCAACAACAAAAACATACAATTCAATTGCTAGGAAAAAAAGGGGGAGTTAAGGCTGAGGTTAAGGAAACTAAAATGTGGTGGTGTCATTTAAAGGAAATTATTTATGCTTAAAACAATATATAGAACAGTATAGAAGTTTTTCTTTTTAACAGAACAACTGAATATGTCAGGCAAATTTCCTATATGAACAAAATGGAAATTTGTTAAAGAAAAGTTTTAGTTGAAAGGACAAATTTCATGAAATTAAAAAAATCTGCTCTTGAATCAGGCTTTTTAAGAAAAATTTTAAAATTAACTATAATTTGATAAGAAAGGAAAATTAAATTTTTAGTATTTTCCTTCAATATTTTGTATTTTTATGTGAAATTATATTATTGTAAAAATTTTCATTTTGAGGTTAGGTTGAACTTTTTGTTATATTTCATTTTCAGGCAGATATTTTTAGAAAATTCCTTTTGTATGTTGTAATAATTATTATTTTCTATCAATATTTGGCATTTTTATGTTCAATTAAATCTTTTTAAAAATGTTCATTTTGAGGTTAGGTTGAACTTTTTGTTATATCTCATTTTCAGGCAGATATGTTTAGAAAATTCCTTTTGTATGTTGTAATAATTATTATTTTCTATCAATATTTTGTATTTTTAAGTCTAATTAATGCTTTTTAAAAATTTTCATGTTGAGGTTAGGTTGAACTTTTTGTTATAAATCATTTTCAGACAGACATTTTTAGAAAATTGCTTTTGTATGTTTACTTAATTAGTAATATCTACTAGTATTTTGTATTTTTATGTTCAATTAAAGCTTTATAAACATTTTAGTTTTGAGGTTAGGTTGAACTTTTTGTTATAACTCATTTTCAGGCAGATATTTTTGGAAAATTCCTTTTGTATGTTGTAATAATTATTATTTCCTATCAATATTTTGTATTTTTATGTTCATTTAAAGCTTTTTAAAAATTTTCATTTTGAGGTTATGATGAATTTTTTTTTAATATTTCCTTTAATTTCATAAATAGGTAAATAACTCTTTTGAATTCCTAATAATTAAGTTAAAAGTCATATACATTTGAGATATTTAAGCATAAGGAAGCAATTTTGAAAAATTTTAGATTGGATTTTTTTCAAATATTTTGAAAATCTAAAAGAAAATTTTCCAATTTTTTTGAAAATAAAAAATTTTAAGGAAAAATCGAGGAAATATAAAGATTTTTTGGCATTTAACACTTTGATTCCATGATTTATAAGAAGAATTAAAAGCAAAAGAAAAATACTTACGGTTCAGGTGTATGATAGGGTGAGTTAACATGACGCACATACTGAGTACTCTGGAAAATACGGAAAGCCAAAGAAGCCAAGAAATCGCGAGCAGTCAATAAACCAGCAGCAGGTCTCAAAGTGAAACCGGTATTCTTACGCAAGAAATCAGACATCTCTTGCAATTGAGGCAAATGCTCCTCAACGAAAATATTCTCATCTTCCAATTTCTTAAAAGCAGCACGATACTCAGCACAGGCATGTTTAGGCGATAATTCCTTAACAGTGCGGAAAACAGAACGCCAGGTCTTGTTCTCAACTTCGGTGTAGTTAATGTGGGGAATTGGATCACCATACTTGTAGGCGAAAGCAATTTCGGCAATCTCCTTGCGACGTTGTCTATAGACTTTATCAGCAAAACCAGGATGATTCATATCCAAATCAGGTTCATATTTAGTCATCAAATGATTACAGTTATCCAATTCGGAGGCATGCTTGGGGAACCAAGGAGCCTTAACGCTAATATTATTGTCAGCCAACAAATTAATGCTGCTGAACGAGCCCGATTGACGCAATGAGCGAATCAATTGCAATAGATTGCCACGAGTCATGTTCAATTTGATTAAAACATCATGATCGGCACCATCCGAGCGCGATTGACGTGACTCGACATGTTGTATGGAACCATGATAGTTTTCAATGGCCTTTAAAATGCGACCCAAAGAGGTAATGCCCTCCTTAAGACGCACAATCAAGGCAGCATTTTGCATGACATTTTCAGCCTCAGCTGATTCGGAAACAGCATTGGCCAAGACAATTTCATCTTCAGTTAAACCAGCATCTAAAAATAGTTGCAATAAGTATAAGAAAAAAAAGGATTAAAATCACTTTATTTCTAGATTTCTGTTTTTTTAATATAAATGCCTGGCACGTTTAGCCAGCCGACATGACGTATGAGTAATATGATTATTGTTAGCACTCAAATGTATATTAAATCTATGAACCTTAACTATACTCACTTAGGGAAAAAGGGGGCGCTTTGGTTGTTAAGAGAAAAAGCTGTCTTTTTGAAATCATTTTTTTATAAGCTGCCAACAATTGTTGCATAAAGTGTTAAGAGGGAGGGGGTGAGGGCGGTTGTATTATAATAATATAAGATTTTTATAGACTTATGGTTTTAACACTCATACATCAACATCATCAGCTTTAACAACTTGATTTTAAATGTAACTAAACCCACACACACACAGCAAAGCTTACACTTATACCATGTTAAATACATTAAAAGGAAACGGAAATGAACAATTTACCATTTCACAACTTAGCGGTAGCTTTGGCTGCTAAGTGTGTGTGTGTGTTTAAGTGGAAATGTTTAGAGTAGTAAAAGAAATGAAAAATTCTGTCACAAAAGAACTAAATTAAGTGAAAATGTTAAATGTTAAGTAGATTTAAAAAGAATCACATTTATTGTAATAACTTTTATTTTCATATTTTATGGGATTATTATTATTATTGCTTTTTTTTCTTATGATGACCGAGAGAATGAAAAAGGTTTAAAATTTAAGTGTTGCATTATGTAAAAGTATAAATTCATTTTTTTATGAAAGCTTACCCTCTGTATTATTTTTATCTGTTGATTCTTGCGAATCATTTTCCTGAGTTTGTTCTAAGTCAGCTGGTAAATCATCATGATTATCATCTTTTGTTTTTAAACAAAAACAAATTAAATGAAAATATAAAAAAAAAATAATAATTAAATAAAATTATAATAAAATAAAAATAAAAAACAAACACTACCTTCATTAAAAACGGGCTGTTGAATATCATCAACAACATCTAGATTTTCTAATTGTTGTTCATCTTGTAATTCAATTTGTTCTTGATTTGGTACATGTTCACCTTTGGCTTGCAAAATGGCCTCTTCCAAGGTGCCATCTTTTTTAAAATAAAATAAAAAATTATAAATAAAATTAAAAAATAATAGAAAAATTATAAAAACAAATAAAATAAAACGAAAGCAATTAAAAATAATAATTTAAAGGGCTCGAAGGACCAAGTAATTAAGTCTTTAAATAGTTATTTGGAAGCCTTTGTTGGCTTATAAGAACCTTAAAAAACTATTACTGATAAAAACTTATGGGACTTGTGGGATTTTGAAAGGTTCGAAGGACCATTTTATAGCTTTTCTTTGAAAGACTTTATCAGACCAATTTGTCAAATTTGAATGCAATAAGTTTTAGTTGTAGAGAAATTCCTGTAGTTTAATTTTGAGGGTTCGAAGGACCATTTTATAGCTTTTCTTTTGAAGGCTTTATCAGACCAATTTCTCAAATTTGAAACCAAAAAGTTTTAGTTTTATAGAAATTCATGTAGTTTAACTTGGCTTAGAACTTAATTTTAGGGTTCGAAGGACCATTTTATGGCTTTTCTTTTAAAGACTTTATCAGAACAATTTGTCAAATATGAATCCAAAAAGTTTTTGTTGTAAAGAAATTAAGATAGTTTAACTTGGTTTAGAACTTAATTTAAGGGTTCGAAGGACCAATTTATAGCTTTTCGTTTAAAAACTTTATAAAAACAATTTGTGAAATTTGAATCCAGTAAATTTTAGTTGTATAGAAATTCCTGTAGTTTAACTTGGTTTAGAACTTAATTTTAGGGTTCGAAGGACCAATTTATAGCTTTTCTTTTGAAGACTTTATAAGTCCAATTTCTCAAATTTGAAACCAAAAAGTTTTCGTTGTATAGAAATGGATGTAGTTTAACTTGGGTTCCATTTTTAAGATTATTTAAAATTTCTTTTAGTTTTTTAGCAATTGCTTTGTTTTTTAAGTTTTTTTTATAGCAAAATTTTTATATAACTCACCATTGGCTTTAGTGCGAGCCTCCTCCAAGACAATTTGTTTTGTCTGTTTGACCACCAAACTTTCAAAACGGGCATCGTCCACCAAAGAGCGACGACGAGAGGGATAACCGTTCTGTAAAGGAAAAAAAAAACAACAAATAAAATGGAATTAATTAATAAAATTGAAAGAATTAAAAAAATATATAAAAAATAAAATATATTTTTTTTTAAATATATAAAGACGTATGCTTAATTTTTTATTAAATCCTTAATAAGTATACGCTCTGTTATGCGTTTTTTTTTTAAATTAAATCTATTGTTATAGAGAAAATGTTCTAGATTTTTTCTAATGTTAAACAAATATTAAGGGAATTGATAGAAATTTCTTTAATAAGTAAAGTTTTTTTTTGGAATTTCTTTTAAAAACTAAAGCCTACTTTTAGGTGTATAAATGTTTATTAAGTATTTTCTTGAAATTTTTAAACAATTTTAAAGAATTTCTTAACAATTTAAGCAAATTTTTAAAATTTTGTTTAGATTTTTATCCCAAATAGGAAATTTATAAAATTTGCTTTAATAAGAATAGGTATTTTTGATTTTATTTTAAAAACTAAAGCCTACTTTTAGGTGTTTAAATGTTTATTAAGTATTTTCATGAAATTTTTAAGCAATTTTAAAGAATTTCTTTACAATTTAATTTAATTTTTAAAATTTTGTATGGATATCTATCTCAAATAGGTTATAAAATTTTCTTTAATAAGAAAAAGTTTTTTGATTTGCTCTTAAAAACTAAAGCTTACTTTTAGGTGTTTAAAGGGTTTTAATGTATTTGCTTTATATGTTTAAGCAATTCAAAAGAATTTCTTTACAATTTAAGTACATTTTTAAAATTCTGTTTAGATTTCTATTACAAATAACTGTGGCTTTATTCAAAATTAAAGCTATTGGCCAGGGAAAGGATTTTTAAGGAAAATATTGCCCATTTTTAGGAGTTTTATTAGAAAACATTGTTTTTCTAAGTTAAAAAGAAAAATTAAGGTTTTATTAGTATATTAAAGAAATAATTAAGGATTTTTTAGATTTTTAAAGAAAAATCCTTTAAAAATGTATAATTCATTAGTTAAAAATTGCTGCCTACTTTTAGGTGTAGTTAAAGTAAACCTTATACTTTAAGGAAGTTTTTTTATTGGAGATTTATTTAATAAACAACTTTATTTATTATGTTAAAAGCCAAACTTAAAGATCATTCATTATTTATGCCATGACATAACATTTCTCTCAATTGATTAAATATTTGTTGTTGTTTTTAGTTTAAATCGTTTATTTTCTTTATTAAAGCCAGAAAAAAACTTAACAACAAAATTCACACACAAACAACAAACAAAAATTGTTACAAAATCTGGTTAATTTCTTTTAAACTGAAAACGAAAGTGTTCGATCATGCTGATCATCATACATGATCATCAACAATGAATGAATGAAGAGAAACAATAAAACAAGTTTATTGAAAATATATTGTTTAACTCACATAACTGTGTGGCTAAAGATTAACTTGTTAAGTTGTTAATGAGGCCGGCTTAAATATAAACACACAAACTATCAGATAACCAGAGTTACAGATACAAATGCTCCCATACTTATGTAGTTATGAACTGCAGAAGAAATGCCCTCTAAAAGGCGTACGTGCAAAATTTCAAGATTTTTGTTTATTATTTTGAAAAAAGAAATAATTTATGGATTTCTTTCAAAATATGCCATCTTGTGTTAAACATCTATTTATTTATTAAATATTTATTTAAAAACAATCTATTGTTTGTGTTTTTGTTTTTATCTTTTTTTTATTGGGGTTTTTGTTTTATAATTTATGTTTACAGCTTTATTAACACCTTTAAGCAACAAAAAGTGTGGCTTGTGGTAAAAATTAACATAAACAATTTATTATTAAGTTTTTAATATATTGTTTAGAAATAAAAACATAGATAACATGATTTGACATGATTTTTTTATGTAAAATTTATGAAAAATTTTTGAAGAATTTTTTTTTTCGGGGACAATTTAGTTTTGGCTGATGAAAGCTTTTTAAGATATTAAATAAGTTTTAAGTAAGTTTAAGGGAAAATATTGAAGGTTATATGTTGAAAATTTTGAGTTTTAATTAATTTTTAACACTTTCACTTTTGAATTTTATGGCTTTTTGAGAAAAAAAAAGTTGTTAATTGATTTTTCAAATAAATTTAAAAGCAATTAATTGAGTTGTTAAATTTGAACACAATTTTAAAACAAAAATTGAAACATTTTTTCAAATATTAAAAAGAGGGAAAATGGGTTTAAGATGTTTTATTTAAGAAAAGAAAATTTCCTAAATTAGAAATGAAAAAAAGAAAAAAATTTTGAAAATATTTTCAAATTTTCTTTAAAATTTTCATAATTTTAATGAAAATTTTGTTTTAAGGGAAACAGGCATTTATCTAATATTTTTTTTTATAAATTTTATAAATTTAAAATTAAAAAAAAAATTTTGAACATTTTTTCAAAATTTTAAAGAAAATTTTCAAAAAATTATAAAAATAAAATTTCTAAATTTGTTGTAATATTTGAAAGATTTTCATTTTTTAATACAAATGAAAGAGTTTTCTGAAAATTTTTGTAAAATTAATTTTTAAAATTAAAGAAAATTCCAAAAATTTCAAAACAAAATTTGGAAAAATTTTAAATAAAACATTTTAAGTTTTCTATGAAATCTTTTCAAAAGCTTGAAATTTGTAACAAAAATTTTTATTTAAAAAGAAATTTTTTTAAAAAAATTATTTTCAAAATTTAGAAAAATTAAAAAAATTTTAAAGATTTTAAAAAATTTCCCCATTTTAAAAGAAAAATTTCAAAATTTTATTAAATCTTTTTAAAAACTTGAAATTTGTAACAAAAATTTTTATTTCAAAAGAAATTTTTGAAAATTTTTTTTTTTCAAAATTTAGAAAAATTAAAGAAGATTTTGAAAATTGCGAAAGAAATTTTTAAAATTGAAACATAATATTAAGGAATTTTGCAATTTTAAATAAAAAACTATATTTATATAACAAATTTCCGTAAAAATTTTCAATTCAAAATTTTGTATTTAAATAAAATTGAAAAAAAGTGGAAATTTTTGCTCAAATTAAAATAAATGTTTTCAAAATGCTAATAAATTTTTATAATAAAATTACTTTTGAAAACTAAAATTTTTTGAGAACAAAATTAAAAAAAATTTTCAAAAATTTAAAAAAAAAACATTTGAAAATTTTCCAAAAAATTTTTATTTTAAAAACCAATCTTTGAAAACTTTACAATTTTAATTAAGAAAAATTTAAGCAAAATTTATAAAACTTTAAAAAAAATTCTAGAAAATTCTAAAATTAAATACATTTTAAAAATTTTCTTTAAAATTTTCAAAATTTGACTTAAAACAGGACACTTTTTAAAGTCTAATTTAAAAAACTCACCTCAATACTGTATGATTTTTTAATAGCGAACATTTCGCGATTCTTTTGAGCAGCAGCTACAGCCATCATTTTGTTATAGTTGTTGTTGTTTTTGTAGGATATGTAGTTTTAAAGATGATTTAAAAGTATTTATTTAAGATTTTCTTTTGTTTTTCAAAAAAAATCTCAAAAATTTATTTAGTGAATAAAAACACTTAATACTTTTTGTTGATTTCTTTGTCTAAGATTAAATAATAAGCCTTCGAAAACTTGGAACACTATGGGTTTTCACTGCTTATTTGTAGAACAGGACTTGCTTCTATTTGTTAAATTTTTCTGCAACACAGCCGTTGAAGTCTAGCTTTAGCTTTTCTTTTGTAGATTAAGGAAAATTTTTGTTTTTTTTTTAAATTCAGGAAAAACACAATTTTTCTTTTCTTTTTTTGAAATAATTTATCTTGGATATTTTTCACTTGTGTTATATTTTTTTCTTTAAAAACACCGTTTTGCGTTTTGTTAGCGAGTTTAAATAAAAAAATACGCGTTTTTATCCTTTCGTAAAATATCCAGAGCAATAATATGAAGAGCTAAGAATTACAAACAATCGGCTATAAGTTTTTCTTTTGAAAAAATGTTTTAAGTTTAAACGTTTCTTTCAACCAAAGAAGCAAGTTATTAGAGCGAATGATAGCGAATCAATGCATACTCGATGACCAAGCTCCCATTGCTTATATACCCTCGACCACTGTATAGAAGGTTCAGACGTTTTCTGTTTTTGCACTTAACAGCAAAAACAAAAACAAACATACACAACAAACGTTAAGACGAACCTTTAAGCCGAAACGCTAACAGAGAGTCTTATTAACAGGTAAATGAGTAACTTGGAGACAAACATTAACACACACACACTCACTCACCGGCTGACGCTCTTGGTAATGAAAATAAAAATCACCGTACGTTTTAGCCTCATGTTAATACAAACACTAACACACACACATACACACTCACTCACCCTATACCGCTCTGTTGTTAACAGGTTTTCGTTTTATTTAGAAACTCTGTGACGCTGTGAGAGTTTTATTATCATTTATTATTATTATTCACTGGAACTCATTCATTCACTTATTACTACGTCACACATACATCTGGTTTAACATATTTTTATTTATCTCGTCTCGTTAGGGAACCACCTAGCATCGTGCGTAAGAGATTTTTTTTAGAGCGCATGCTTTCAGCAACAAAAAATCGTATTTACGTTCGTGTTTCAAAATAAAGGCCAAATCTGTTGAATATTATGTGAATTGTACTCAATCTTTGTGGGATTTACCTCTCGCTACAGCAACAATAATAACGAAAATCAAAATAATAATAAACAAAAAAAATCTCCATCCTCAACTCAATTAAACAATCAAGTTCAAGTTTCATACGAATGACAGCAGAAGCTGTAAAATTTACACAGAACAACAGACAGATGGACGGACGGATGGAAGAGTAACAGAGCCACTCACACTATGTTAAGAGGGGGGATGGTTGTCTAAGAGGAAAATATTCCTTCTATTTCATGGAATTAGATTTAGATAGAAAATCGTGGAAAGAATTGTAAAGAATTTAACAAGAAATTAATTTATAGTTTGGTCTGTAACAGATATCGTTAGATTTCAATAGAATGAATAAAAAAAACATATATAGAAACCTTGAGTATGAGAATAATGTGAATTATCTTATCGTATATCGATATTAATATAAGCATCAGGGTTCTTTCTGGAGACAGCCTTTAATGGCTACTTGGGTCAACTATGGACCATACTATACAGAATTTGAGACAGCGATAAATATCTAAGAACAATTAACTTTTCAGTTTGCAGATCTTTCTTTTGATTAACTTCATCATCTGTGAAGAGAGTAATTGAAAAATTCAATATAATCAATTGGACAAATCACACAAATATATATAGTTGTCATTTTAATGTCAATATCATGTCAAAGTCAAATGTTCGTTAAAGTCAAGAAATGTCAATTGATCAAGAAAATCAAGATCCGAAATTTTAGTTTATGAAAATTTTTAATTTCGCCTTAATTCTCTATTTTTCTTTAATTTTCATACAGATTTCAATTGAATTTCAAGTTAATCAGCTTGACACATCTAATGAGTGCTGCCTTAATACAAACATTTTTGTGCGAATAACGATTCACTCTGGGGCTGCATTTTTTGTGAACTAATTCCCGAATTTCAATTTCGGATAGATATTGGTGCCGATATAAGTAAAGGAAACTTTCAAGTTTTACATTGCAGAAATACTTTTACTTTTTTTCAGAGTGTCAAGTTCTTGACATTGATATTGTTTACATTTCTACCGACGATCTATGTAGTTAGTAGTTAATTAGTTAGTTAGGTTAGTTAGTTAGTTAGTTAGTAAGTTAGTTAGTAGTTAGTTAGTTAGTAGTTAGTTAGTTGTTTTAGTTAGTTAGTTAGTAGTTAGTTAGTAGTTAGTTAGTTAGTTAGTAGTTAGTTAGTTAGTTAGTTAGTTAGTTAGTTAGTAGTTAGTTAGTTAGTTAGTTAGTTAGTTAGTTAGTTAGTTAGTTAGTTAGTTAGTTAGTTAGTTAGTTAGTAGTTAGTTAGTTAGTTAGTTAGTTAGTAGTTAGTTAGTTAGTTAGTAGTAGTAGTTAGGTAGTAGTAGTTAGTTAGTTAGTTAGTTAGTTAGTTAGGTAGTTAGTTAGTAGTAGTTAGTTAGTTAGTTAGTTAGTTGTAGTTAGGAGTTAGTTAGTTAGTTAGTTAGTTAGTTAGTTAGTTTAGTTAGTTAGTTAGTAGTTAGTTAGTTAGTTAGTTAGTTAGTTAGTTAGTTAGTTGTTAGTTAGTTAGTAGTTAGTTAGTTAGTTAGTTAGTTAGTTAGTTAGTAGTTAGTTAGTTAGTTAGTTAGTTAGTAGTTAGTTAGTTAGTTAGTTAGTTAGTTAGTTAGTTAGTTAGTAGTTAGTTAGTTAGTTAGTTAGTTAGTTAGTTAGTTAGTTAGTTAGTTAGTTAGTTAGTTAGTTAGTTAGTTAGTTAGTTAGTTAGTTAGTTAGTTAGTTAGGTTAGTTAGTTAGTTAGTTAGTTAGTTAGTTAGTAGTTAGTTAGTTAGTTAGTTAGTTAGTTAGTTAGTTAGTTAGTTAGTAGTTAGTTAGTTAGTTAGTTAGTTAGTTAGTTAGTTAGTTAGTTAGTTAGTTAGTTAGTTAGTTAGTTAGTTAGTTAGTTAGTTAGTTAGTTAGTTAGTTAGTTAGTTAGTTAGTTAGTTAGTAGTTAGTAGTAGTTAGTTAGTTAGTTAGTTAGTTAGTTAGTTAGTTAGTTAGTTAGTTAGTTAGTTAGTTAGTTAGTTAGTTAGTTAGTTAGTTAGTTAGTTAGTTAGTTAGTTAGTTAGTTAGTTAGTTAGTTAGTTAGTTAGTTAGTTAGTTAGTTAGTTAGTTAGTTAGTTAGTTAGTTAGTTAGTTAGTTAGTTAGTTAGTTAGTTAGTTAGTTAGTTAGTTAGTTAGTTAGTTAGTTAGTTAGTTAGTTAGTTAGTTAGTTAGTAGTTAGTTAGTTAGTTAGTTAGTTAGTAGTTAGTTAGTTAGTAGTTAGTTAGTTAGTTAGTTAGTTAGTTAGTTAGTTAGTTAGTTAGTTAGTTAGTTAGTTAGTTAGTTAGTTAGTTAGTAGTTAGTTAGTTAGTTAGTTAGTTAGTTAGTTAGTAGTTAGTTAGTTAGTTAGTTAGTTAGTTAGTTAGTTAGTTAGTTAGTTAGTTAGTTAGTTAGTTAGTAGTTAGTAGTTAGTTAGTTAGTTAGTTAGTTAGTTAGTTAGTTAGTTAGTTAGTTAGTTAGTTAGTTAGTTAGTTAGTAGTTAGTTAGTTAGTTAGTTAGTAGTTAGTTAGTTAGTTAGTTAGTTAGTTAGTTAGTTAGTTAGTTAGTTAGTTAGTTAGTTAGTTAGTTAGTAGTTAGTTAGTTAGTTAGTTAGTTAGTAGTTAGTTTAGTTAGTAGTTAGTTAGTTAGTTAGTTAGTTAGTTAGTTAGTTAGTTAGTTAGTAGTTAGTTAGTTAGTTAGTTAGTTAGTTAGTTAGTTAGTTAGTTAGTTAGTTAGTTAGTTAGTTAGTTAGTTAGTTAGTTCGTAGTTAGTTAGTTAGTTAGTAGTTGTTAGTTAGTTAGTTAGTTAGTTAGTTAGTTAGTTAGTTAGTTAGTTAGTTAGTTAGTTAGTTAGTTAGTTAGTTAGTTAGTTAGTTAGTTAGTTAGTTAGTTAGTTAGTTAGTTAGTTAGTTAGTTAGGTAGTTAGTTAGTTAGTTAGTTAGTTAGTTAGTTAGTTAGTTAGTTAGTTAGTTAGTTAGTTAGTTAGTTGTTAGTTAGTTAGTTAGTTAGTTAGTTAGTTAGTTAGTTAGTTAGTTAGTTAGTTAGTTAGTTAGTTAGTTAGTTAGTTAGTTAGTTAGTTAGTTAGTTAGTTAGTAGTTAGTTAGTTAGTTAGTTAGTTAGTTAGTTAGTTAGTTAGTTTAGTTAGTTAGTTAGTTAGTTAGTTAGTTAGTTAGTTAGTAGTTAGTTAGTTAGTTAGTTAGTTAGTTAGTTAGTTAGTTAGTTAGTTAGTTAGTTAGTTAGTTAGTTAGTTAGTTAGTTAGTTAGTTAGTTAGTTAGTTAGTTAGTTAGTTAGTTAGTTAGTTAGTTAGTTAGTTAGTTAGTTAGTTAGTTAGTTAGTTAGTAGTTAGTTAGTTAGTTAGTTAGTTAGTTAGTAGTTAGTTAGTTAGTTAGTTAGTTAGTTAGTTAGTTAGTTAGTTAGTTAGTTAGTTAGTTAGTTAGTTAGTTAGTTAGTAGTTAGTTAGTTAGTTAGTTAGTTAGTTAGTTAGTTAGTTAGTTAGTTAGTTAGTTAGTTAGTTAGTTAGTTAGTTAGTAGTTAGTTAGTTAGTTAGTTAGTTAGTTAGTTAGTTAGTTAGTTAGTTAGTTAGTTAGTTAGTTAGTTAGTTAGTTAGTAGTTAGTTAGTTAGTTAGTTAGTTAGTTAGTTAGTTAGTTAGTTAGTTAGTTAGTTAGTTAGTTAGTAGAGTAGTTAGTTAGTTAGTTAGTTAGTTAGTAGTTGCAACAATCTAGCTTCCATTTTTCTTACTCATTCCACAGACGCTTTTAATTTTTGACACCTTCGATTTAGTTAGAACTTAGTTCATTTGTTCTATTCTTAAATATGGTTTGTATGACGTATAAAATGGATCCAAGCTTATAAGATTCATATATTATGGGCTCCTAAAGTTGGACATCTCTCGTATTTTTATGAAAAATTAGCTATGCTGACGACTTAATAACTTAGGAACTCGTTATACTGTTATAACTAATGAGATCTCGTTCGACAGGACTTCGAATACTCATTAACAAATATTTGTTAGGTCCTGGCAAGGGATCAGAAGTTAGGGCAGTTTTTATTTAGCTACATTTAAAATTGTAAATTGTAGAAATGAAATGACAAACCTATGTATATTGTACATATATACATATGTAATTCCCAGTGAATTCCCATTGTAATTCCCAATAAAACCCTGGAAAATTCCGCTTCATCATAAATTAGCCTTATTACAAATGTCAAAGAATTGTAAACAGCGTCTGTAATACCCAATAAAACCCTGGATAATTCCCCTTGAACATTAAATACAGATCGTTTAATTGTCATACCTTCCCCCAAATCACTTGCAATTATTTTAGCTCAATGTGAGAATAGAGTTTTTTTTTTTTAAC